GGGACTCCTATTTACCTGAAGCCCCTGCTATTTACATGCTTGTTACACATCACTATGCAGAATCTTTACAAACTCAAAATGTGATATAAATACACAGCTATATAAAATACACACACACACACACACAATTCTATCTAGTACAACTGGGCAGATATAAAACATGAACATACTTTGTGATGTACAAAGGCAAAGTATCAAATGAGGCATGCAGAAAATGCTTGTAGGATTTTTGATCTAACTACATACAGAGAGTTTAAAGGGTCAATAGGTTAAAAAGAAGCCTTGGTGCAGGAGAGACCGTGTCTTTAGCATTGAACAGTTTTAAGGGGCACGAAGAGTAAAGCATCACTAGCAAGGAGCGAAGTGTGAGCACCTCAGAAAACATGGACTGCTTGAAGGCAAAGGTAGAGGAGATGCTCCCCCTGCAGCGGCCCAGGGAGCCTTCTCCTCCCACTAATCTGTGCCTAATTGGGTGAATTAGGTATGTCATTGAGGTGGTAAACAAATAACTGGTCTGTTCCAACCCAGTTTGTGGAAGAAATGACTCTGACATTCTAATGCCCATGTGTCTTGATATCAGTATGTATCTTCACTCCATCTGAACTCTGAAGGGAACTAAGGAAGTTAGAGTTCCCTGACTGTAACAATTATCAGACAATTAAATATTAATGGAAAAAAAACAGTCGAACATAGTCTAGGTTATGACAAGAAGACAGCCTGACAATATTAACTTATTCAGCTGTGAAATTCAAGGTAACTTGGAGTAGACTGTGAAAATCCCTACAGATGACGACAGCAAGACCTGTAGAAGGCAAGCATACCTGTGCTGTGTACTGGAAAATGTCAGCAATAATTTTCATGGATGGCTCTGGGGGGAAAATATAAGTATTTCTGACCATGAACTCCTTTAGGATGTCATTCTGAATTGTGCCAGTGAGCTTCTCCTTCGGCACACCTTGCTCCTCCCCAGTTACTATAAACGTTGCCAGGACTGGGATGACGGCTCCATTCATGGTCATGGAAACGGACATTTTTTCTAAAGGAATGCCATCAAATAGGATTTTGGTGTCTTCTACAGTGTCAATAGCAACTCCCGCCATTCCAACGTCTCCACGAACTCGGGGGTTGTCTGAATCATAACCACGATGTGTTGCCAGGTCAAAGGCGACAGACAACCCCTGCTGACCAGCTAAGAACATAAAGAAAAACATTGGGTATGTTAGAGTCTCAGATAAAAGGAACTCTAAGCATATGTACCTCATCAAAGTATACTGTTATTACATGTCCATGCTCATATGAAACAAATTTGAAAAGCATTTGACTTTCTAGGAACCGGCACTTTCCAGGAAGCTAAGACACACAAACTGAGCTGCTAAATCTATGAGAAATAATAAAAGCAACAGAATAATAAAAACCACTTATCTCAGAACCACACAGGATTTGTTGCTTCACCTCATGCATCGGATACTTTCAGTAGTTGTTTTTATTAAGTTTTTTATTGAGATAGTTTCAATATTGACAAAAATATCTAGCTGATCACACATTCTCAATACAACTTAGCATGTATAAGCTTTTGTTACTTTATATTTACTCTTTACTGTGGTCATAACAGAATGCAGAGCCATTCAAATATTGTTGAAGTAGAAATTTTAGAATGATGAGATTATTCTCATCACCCTACAGAGGTTTTAATGGAAGTACCAATGAAATCCCAGGCCTTCCACACACTAGGCAAGTGCACTACCACTCAGGTAAATATGCAGCCCCTGTGCAATTTTTAAATAATTACAATAGTCTACATTAAACATGAATCCAATCTCTCTGTAAGCAACATAAACTTAGAAATTCTAAAGTTTAGCATGCAAACAGTAAGATTTCACCATACACCAGAAAGGAAATCATAGCTTTTACTTTCTAAGGACAGATTTCTCTGTGTACATGGTTATCACCTGACATCCTACGACTGTGTTTGACATCATTTAAGCTCCCCTCCCAATTTTTTTGGTTTTTCTGGACAGGGTTTCTTTGTATAGCCCTGGCTGTCCTGGAACTCACTCTGTAGACCAGGCTGGCCTCTCCTTCCAATTTCTATCACACAGAAACTAATTAAACGTTTTCCAAAGACAGACTGTATCTCTCTTTTCTTCATAGATCTTCATCCCCTTTCTTTTCGACAATGTATACGGAAGTGTGATTTCTCTCCAACTATTTTGCACGTCTTACTTTTGACTCATATATTTTGGACCACAGTTGAAAAGCATCCATTTGCTTCACAACAAATTTAAGCACAAAATCAATGTCCTATCTAAAGAAAAGAATTAGTGTCTCATGCTGTCATAAGCATCATGGCTCATATTAAAATCTTACCTTTAATATTGTCCTTATAGAATTTATTGCTTTCTTCCACGGTACTAAAGCCTGCATATTGACGGATGGTCCAGGGTCTATAAGTATACATGGTGGGATAAGGTCCTCGTGTGAATGGCTTCACTCCTGGAAGTTCTTCAGGTAAGTCCATAGTATCTGCCCTTGAATATAAGGGCTTTATAGAGATCCCTTCTGGGGTGTGCCATATTAGGTCCTCTGGGTTTTTGCCTTTCAGCTGCTTTTTGGCCAGTACAGCCCATTCTGGGTGAAGGGGTTGCCGCTGATGTAGGAGCCGTCTCCATCTGGAAGCTGACGGATTGTTTAACTGCTTCAGGTAATGGGGTGATAACCAAAAAAGCTGATTCTTAGCTCTCAACATGGTGAAACATGAATCCTCCCAAAAGGAAATGAGAACAGATCTAGAAAAATTAAGAAAACAATATACATACATTTCAAAATGTGAAAAAAATTGAGAGATTTCAGTAAGTTGGGAAAAAAAAGAAGGAATATTGGTCCCGTTTCATCTTTCTTTCCTTTTCTGGTCTTGCATCTGATATAACACTTACTCTTGTTCTTCTCGCTGTAGTCTTCTTACTTTACAGTCTCTTGGTTGGTCTTACTGACCAGTCTTTGCCCCCTGAAACCTGTTCTATACTCATAAAATGCAAATCTGACTATATCATACTCTCCTCAAAATTTCTGCACGGTTATATTATGTGGTGGATTGGAACATAACAGTTCAATTGATTTGCATTCGAAGCCCATTCACAGATTGCCGGCTTCTGGTAGACATTCTATTGGTATATGGAGAAGACTTGCAGGCACCGAAGGCATCTGTGACCTGGTCTCTGTGTATCTGTCAAACTTATTTCTGTCTTGGCCATTTACACGCTGTATGTACTGGAAATCCTAGAAAACTCACAGTTTGCTGCATTTGCCATTTACCCGCACAGAAAAGGAGCAAGCTGCCTCAATTACTTGATAAGTAAGTCTCACACAGTCTCAACATGTAGAGCCTATAGTTTTTCTAAAAAAAGAAAATCAGACACAGATTTCTTTAATAAAGTTGTCTCTCCAGTGCTTTACACTAATTGGGCAGCTGGAGTCTAAAATTCTATTTTACATATAACTTCTGATCTACCAATTTAGTGAAGCCTTGAAGACTGACAAATACTTATTACCGATCACCAAACAAGAAGCAGAAGCCACTGATGGGAATACAGTTTTAATTATTTTACAATGTACACTTCCGAAACAGAAAACGTCTCAAAAATGCTACTCCCTTAAAGTGGGCAACATCCATTCTGGGAGAGCTTCTGTAGTAAAAGTCTGAACAGGAATTCTCTGCTCTTTTATCTGCACTAGAAAAACAAACATTATAAACATCTACAGTTAGAGTAAGTGTGTTACAACATAGACAAACGGCAGAATGTAATGAAACTATTATATTCCATATCGGAACTTGCAGGAGTATTGACTTATGGCAGTCAGTACAGAAAAGAAAAAAGGTGACTGTGTGATCTGGACATAAATTACAAGATGTACTACGTTTGTGGAAACTAGTACTCTGTGCAATTATCATTGTGTGCGCTTTCTCTAAGTATCTTGTAATAAAATATTCGCATTAGGATTGATAAAAGCAAAATTACAGTTACGAAGTAGCAACAAAAATAAATTTTATGGTTGAGGTCACCACTGTATTGAAAGATCTTGGCATTGGAAAGGATGAGAACGATTAACCTAAAGAAATAATTAAACACAAAACAATGTTGGAAGAAATTCAGCAAGTGGTTTAAAATTACACGCATGTGTCTTGCTCTTATGGCAAAACATCGAAATTAGGTTACGGGTTTTTGGGGGGTCGGGAGGAGTGGTTGTTTTTAATCAAATTAGACCCGCCTTTCCTTTTTCATTTCTTCCGTCACTTAAATTTTTTTTGTCCCACTACCTCTAGAAAAAAACACCCTAGAAACCACCTGAGTCTCATGCACCTCTAACTAACTACACGTGACCTCTTTCCTGCGCCTGCGTGGAAAACCAGAAAAGAACAGCGACAAGGCTACCGCGCTGCAGAAAAGCACTTTGCAGCCGCGACCTCCGAATACCAACAGCCTAGGGGGAAATGAGAAGCCAATCGATCGAAGTGAACATCTACACTCAGAAACAAGCAGGCGGCTTCCTATCACAGAAACAGGGTGAAGAAGGAAGAAGGAAAAGATAGCAAGACAGAGAGGTGGAGCAGAAGGAGGAACCCAGTAAGGGGAGAGACTTGCAAGCCTGACGTGCTTCACAGCGCACGGGCTTACTCACAGTGTTGGGGGTCACCAGGGCGAGCCCCGATCTCAGAGCCGAACCCTGAAGCCCGCGGGTCACAGCTGCACGCAGCTGGAGCTCCGGAGCCAGTCAAATCAGGGGGCGTAGCCAACACCGCCCTCTGTTCAACCAATCCAATCCCGCCGTTGCGGGCGCGCGTCTGATGACGTATAAGAGATACGCCAGCAGGCCCGCCTCTTTCAATCAAATGTATCTTTCTTCATTGACACTTCCTGTTTCCAGGTCGTTGAGGTTGCCTCTCTTTTCCGGGTTTTTGGGCGGAGTAAGTGAGACGCGCGCTTTTTGAGTCGGTGAATAAACAGCGAAGAATCGAGGAAGCGCTTAAGCGACTGACGAATCCAGAGGGAATGATTTTGAGCCTCATGCAGTTCTGGTAAACTCCGTTGTTGTGTATTTTTTTTTAAAGGGGCAATGTCTCATGTCCGAATAGGTCTCTGCCATCAAGGGCAGCAGTTCGAGATAACTCCAGGGAGGAGTAAAAACAATGAGCCTCCGTCTCTATTCTCTCTGACCCTCTGGGTCCTCGTTCCTGAAGCTCTGTACCTCGTCCTGGAGCGACCGACAGAGTAGCCAAAGTTTGCTCTCGTTAGTGGTTCGCAGATAAACAGCTTAAGTTGAGATAAGTCGGTTTAAACTAGTTTCAGTAAACGACAAGCAAACAGAAGCAGGGCGCCTCGCCCCCTTTTTCCACTCCTCCCAAAAAGATTCAAGTCTAAACAGACTGGTTCGCAAAGCAAAGCATTGTCCTTTGAGCTGTCACGCTGTCCGACTTAAGCTAATTTCATTTAAGGACTTTTTAATGTCTCTTCTTATCTAATAATCCAAAGATATCACCACAGCTGCCCACAAATCAATTTGATTGCATTTAGTATATCTCATGCATAATAATTGTTTTCATATCCGAGTCTACCAGCCAACTGTTAAGCTATGATTTCCTGTGGATCTGGGAACAGGAAGAAATTTTTATCTTAATTTTTTTTAAATTAACACTGAAGTTGAGCCTTTATACAAGCCATTATCTCTTTTTTTTTTTTTGCACCTTTGCAGACTATGTATCATCGTGATTGTACTGTTTAGATCAAAATGTCTGGTAAAGCAAATGCTTCTAAGACAAAATCTCAACAGGTGAAAAGAAATTTAAAACAAAGAGCCGATAAGGAAGAGGATTTGCCAGCGAATGAGGTAATGAAATATCAAATCTTATCTTTCAGATCACTTTGATTAAAAATATCTATTCTCTTCAAAGGGCTAAAAGTCAGTTTTACTACAAATTGTAATTCATATCACATACTTTAGTGCATTGTTTATAATATCTCCTATACTTTTTTCTGCCTCCTGGAAGGTATAGTATTTATATACATGGAATATGTGTTGCAAAACCATCTTTTTATCTGTTGTTTGTTTGTATATCTCTAGGTTGAAAGCACAGCAAAAAGAAACAGAAGTCATACAGGACGTCTGTCCTCTAAAGGTATTTGTGCTGTATGTCTTGTTTAAAGTGTCTTCTACTGGTTTTCATGCCAAATGTTTCAGCATCTTGGTTACAAGTTCAGAAATAGTAAAAGGTGGTCATAAGCAGCCACATCCATAGTATTTAATTTTAGTAGCAAATATAGAGAGGTTTTTCTGTCACACTGAGAGGAACTAGGAGACAAATTATTATCCCCCACTCCGAATTACACATCTTTGACGTAAAGACAAACCTAAGACATCTGTGATTTCACTTCTGCCAGTACTGTACTGATAGTTTGATAGTTTATAATTACTAGCTTAAGCATTTCAAATGTAATTAGTTTGAAATACCATTTTCTTAAACATGGCTTCTTTGTAAGAAGATTCCTATCTTACCTATTGGTGCAGATAGTGTCCTGCGTTTCTATTTCCTAGGGTACCATGCTTTTACATTGTAACTTCTGCACTCCTGTAATTTGCATAGCATCCCTTTTTCCTTTACCTAGTATTTGTGAAGCCAATACTGTATATTATTGCTTATCCCTTGTAAGTAGAAGAGTTCATTATCGAATCCTTCTAGCAAACACTGTTGAGGTTTACCAGCTATACTGATTAGAACTAGAAAACAATTCTCTGTTCCCTTCTATGAGTTACTCATCTCTGATCTAAAGATATTCCAGTCAGTATCTATGTCTTGCTTGTTCTCTTTCCAATGTTTGGTAGAAGTAGTTTTCCAGTATTTTTATTGAAACTCTTAAGAAGTCAAGTCATTTTTCAGAAGCAAGTCTTAATAATAATAACTTGATTCTTTATTAGAGAGTATTTCTATTGCAGTGTGAGTTGATTGTATATCAGGAATTGTCACAACAGCAAATGCGTCTGCAGTAACAGACACGTTATAGCTGCAGTAAGATGTGAATTGAAAAGTAGTACGTTTTAGCTTCATAATGCCACTACTGTTCTTTATGTTAAAACTAATTTTAAGTGAAACTGCAAAACTTCTAGATTGATTAGACTCTCTTGTATTACCAGCAACCGGAAAAGCAAAATGTGTTCATCTAAAACGGGTAAAAATATCATCCAACAAGAGAACAACCTGGCAGCCTCTTCCAAAGAATACTGAAGAGTATTTGCAAAGTATGATGGAATCAGTAATTCTGTGAGTTCAAAGGTTTTTTTTTCCCCAGCTCTTGACTCTTAGGTATTTACTAATTTACATTTGTCTCAGTATTACTGCATGTCTGAGTTACTTTCTTCATGGAGGTGACAGCATGCCTAACATAAACATCCTAAACAACAGAGAGATTGTTTAGTCTTACAGGTTCAGGAGCTGTGAGCCCTTGGGAGGCAGAACATCATGGCATTGGGAGCAATACCTTTCAGGAAGCAAAGCAGAAGACTAGCACCAGGGGCCAAGTGTCACTTAAAAGCATACCCCAGTGCCCTGTGTGTTGTCCAGCCAGTCATTCTCTCCTAGAATTTCCATGAGCTGAAGACCATGTGTTCTGCACATATGCCAATGGAAGACATACCAAATTTATACCCTGACAGTATTTTAAGGCAATAAAGTATTCTTCAGTTTCAGAAAAAGATGCTCATTGATTCATGATTGGCATAGTCTAACAGTATTTTAAGGCAATAGCGTATTCTTCAACTTCAGAAAAGATGGTCGGTGATTCATGATTAGCACTTCCCTCACAAGAAAAAAAAAAGATTTTCTTAACGATAGAAACTTGGGATTCTGTCAGTGAAATAGAAATCAAGTTTGTGTGGGTTGCAGTCTCTAAAATTATAAATTGTTCTGTCAATATTAATTCTTCAGAAATCATGTTCATGATTAACACTTTCTGTGAAAACTTCCATGTTATATAAAATATAACCAGAACTCCACCATGACTGCACCAGAGAAGTTGGGTATATGAACTCTTATGATGCAATATGATTCAAAGAAATTGCAGTTGTTCTACTTAAAGTGTTTTCTGGGTAATAGAGGAAAAATGTGTTGAGGTTATCATGTGGTGTGTGTGTATGTGTGTGTAAGTGTGTATGAGTTAATGAAATCCACTATTTTGTTTTAATATATACCAGGAACAATAAAACCATAGATATACAATACTAAATACAATACTAAAACTTTTACTATAATGAATTTAAATTAAAAGTAAATTATGTTGTTTAAATATGTATCTAGTAAACCCACAGAATCAATGAAACTGGGCTCACAGTGGCTCACAGTGGCTCACAGTGGCTCACAGTGGCTCAC